CCACAATGCACTGTCTGTATCCCCCCAACCCCCATACATCATCTATGCTCATACCCCTCCTTCCTCACACAGCCATCCCCTTCCTCACACACTGTGGGGCTGGGGCCTGGGGGTAGGGGACTGTGGGTTGGGAGTGAGGGACACCAGCAGGGCCACAGGGCTGAGGGTTGGGAGTGAGGGGCACCAACAGGACTGGGGGACAGATGGGTGCTGTGGCTTGAGAGTGAGGGGCAGCAGTATGGCAGAGGCAGGGCACCAGCATATCAGAGCTACTCAGCACCACAAAGCAGTGTGTGTGTGGGGGGCGGGAAACACAGCTGCAGCTGAACCCATGCCCTGGTGAGCAAAGGGGATGGGGAGCTCTGATTTAGTAAGATAAAAAGCCAAATTCAAACACCAAAATATATATTTAGAATTATTTTATTATAATGACTGAGGCTCTGGTAGGCTTCCAAACTGCTTTAAAATTGTAAGTATATCAATAAAACATTGCATTCAACTCATACTTATTTATATAGTGGGATTTCATTCTAATCACAGAAAACAAGGATTTGGGGGGTTTTAATCAAAGAATTTTGGATTTTTTAATCAGAGAATTTTGGATTTTTAAACAGAGGAAACGAATCCCTGTTTATTACCATTATTAATAATAAATACTTATACTATGGTAGCAACTACCAGGTGCACTGGGCTAGGTGCTGTACGAACACAGAACAAAAAGATGCTCCCTGACCCCAAAGTGCTTAAAAGCCTTTTTGATGTAAACAGCAGTGACCCCACACACAAACAGAAACCTCTCTTGATTTCTATGATAAAGAGGAGTCAGAGCTCTTCCCCACACTGGAAGATGAGATGCACCAGTTCTGCAGAAGACAAGAGACCACCAGCACCACCCACAAGATGTCCTCACTAACACTAAGGGCTCCCGTTGCCTGGTGACACACCTCCTGTTCCGCATAACAGGAGGATAATGAGGGAAAGTTACTGATCATGGAGAATGCCTAGTTACTGGTCCCTGATCAATCATTCATGATCATGAACTGCTTGTTATAGTTGGGGGTATACTGTTAGTTGTGTTCAATTGTAAATCTTCTCTTACATCCTAACCATAAGGGTTGGCAGGACTGGGGCATTCAATTTAATGTACTAACCTGTAATGAAACAGTTTTTCCTTACTGAGTGTAACAGATTTCAATGCTGCAGGAAATACAGATAAAATATAACTTCTTGTGTCACTTAATGAACTAGTTTTCCATTTTGCTTCATATACCCAAAGCAAAATTATATCTTTGTATGAAACAGTCTTGTAGAATATACAGCTTAAAATGCATCACATTACATTGTGATCTAAAAGTAATGTTTTCTAAAAGTAATCAAAACCAATGTTTTTTAGAAGTGAAATGAATCAATTTAGCATTCAGTATCTCTATTCTTATATGCCTAAAAGATCAGTCTTTTTACATAGCGCATGAAGAATCACAGAAAACTTTGCTGACTATTTGACATCTTAGTGGTGCCCTGTGAATAGAGTAGAAAAAAAGAACTGGCAGGAACATCTGGTCTCTCTAAACCATTTCAGTGGGGAATTTGAATTACCTGTGAAGTGATTCCCAAGTCAGCCTGAATTTTTTTATTCCCAACAGCAGATGCAAATGATGAAGAAGAAAAACAGAAAGTTTGGTATAATAAGTTCTTGCAGAACAGTCAGTATAAAGCAGAACTATAGGGGGAAAGTTGGAGTGGGAGCATAGGTGTGGGTGCCTGTGCACACTGTAAAGAGAAAGCAAAACCCTTGCATCAGATTCAGACCTGAGATCAATGGAGTTACACCAGCTGATGTGAAATTTGAACTTGACACTTCCTATTTGTTTCTACTACAGACTATTTTCTTCTTTGTTTAAAATGTTAAACCAGTGAAGCATGGCTGCTTCTGGGCTGGAACATCTAGCAGGTGCAAATAATGCTATGGAAAGGGCTAACTGAATGAAGAGCAGGGGAAAAAAAATCAAACAAGTCCAAAAATCAAAGAGGGGGGAAAAGTAGTCAGGGCAATCAAAAGAAAAAAAAAAGAAAAGGAGATAGGAAAACTGATAAGGAATTAATCATTAAAGGTGTTTATACATGCAACAAAATTGGCCTTTAAAGCGACTTAATTGCCCTTTGGCACCGCTTTAATGGTGTTGCTACTTACACATTCAGTGGCGTATTACACTTTAATGGCACTGCTATCTAGCCATTCAGCGGCGTAGTTCATTCTAAATGACTTTGTTATATAGCAAGGTAAAACCCCTCTGAGGTATTTTAGTTTGCTATGTAACACAGTGCCACAGTGCATGGGGCACTGGAAGACACCATGCTCAGAGAAGCTCGGGCTTGGTGAGCTTCCAGCGCCCCATGCACCATCCCTGCTGCTTTCTCCCAGTGCCAGCACACCCAGCCATCCTCCTGCCACCTTGCCGCTCTGCCCCAGGGGCAAGCCAGCCATTCCTGGTCAGTCCCAGGCAGCAGGAAGGTGGCAGGGACGGTGCACGGGGTGCTGGAGCCTACTGGCCTCTCTCATGGCAGGGGGGAGAGCTGCCAGTGAGCCAAGCAGTCCCTGAGCTGCAGGGGACCCTGGTCCTTCCCTCCATGGTGGTGGTGCCCTGCAGGTGGCACCCACCCACTAGCACCCACCCTGGGCAGTTCACAGGGGTGCTGCCACTGCAGAGGGGAGCACCGGGCCCTGCACAGCTCAGGGGCTGTGTGACCCAGCGACAGCTCGTGCAGGCAGGCTCAGCTGAGGTGGAGCGGGGGGAAAAAAAAGCAGCGAGGAACCTTTTTTAATTTTCTCTCTCGGAGCCTGCCTGAGCTGTGCAGGGCCTGGTGCTTTGCTCCATGGCAACGGCAACTCCTGGAACCAGCCGGGTGGGCTGCTAAGTGGGCAGGTGCTGCCCAGAGGGCACTGCCACCATGGAGGGAGGCACTGGGCCCCACACAGCTCAGGCAGGCAGGCAGACTCCAAGAGAGAGAGAAAGAAAAAAAAATCAGGCTCCTTGATGATTTTTATTTTTTCCCCTCCGTCAAGCTTGCCTGCATGAGCTACTGCCATGTTGCAAAGGCCCAGTGCTTCCCTCTGTGGTGGGGGTACCCCTCAGGACCGCCCAGGCTGGGTCCTAGCAGGTGGGTGCCACCTGGGGGACACTGCCACTGCAGAAGGAAGAACCAGGGTCCCCTGTAGCTCAAGGACTGCTCAGCCTGCTGCCGACAGCTTACCCCCCCACCCCACCATGGGAGGGCAGGAAAAAAAAAAAAAAGAATTGGGCCCTCTCGTGCCTGTATGTGCAACAGGAGTTTAGTTCTCCCGCAACTGAAATGGTGGGGTTTTAAATTACACAATTAAAAACCCACCAATTAAAAACCCACCAGTTCAATTTAGGGAAAACTAAACCCCCATCATGTGTACAAGCACCCTAAAAGTAAAGTTGAGGTGTGGAGTTTAGTACATCTTGTGTCTTGTCTCTCTTACCTTTGGCCTGTAAATTGTCTACCTCACCAGAAAGCTTTTCATGGTTTGAGACAATCTTCCTTTACACTTGTCGGTCAGTCTAGCACACTTTCATTAATAACAACATTTTCCATCTTGAGTGTCTAAAGCTGGGGTGGGCAATTATTTGGGTTGACGGTCACATCCACAGCTGCCCATAGGCTGCCAGCAGCTTCCTAACTGAGGTACAGGTGCAGATGGGGTGAGACAGGGAATTATCTTTGAAAACTCATAGCGATCAGGAGAGGTCCCAGGTGACTGGAGAAGGGCAAACATAGTGCCCATATTTATGAAAGGGAAAAAGGAGGATCCAAGGAACTACAGACTAGTCAGCCTCACCTCAGTTCCTGGAAAAATCATGGAGCAGATCCTCAAGGAATCCATTTGTAAGCACTTGGAGGAGAAAAGGGTGATTAGTCAGCATGGATTCCCCAAGGGCAAGTCATGCTTAACCAACCTGATTGCCTTCTATGATGAAATGACTGGCTCTGCAGATGTGGGGAGACCAGTGGATGTGATATATCTTGATTTAAACACGGCTTCTGATACGGTCTCCCACAACATGCTCACAGGCAAGTTAAGGAAGTATGGGCTGGATGAATGGACTGTAAGGTGGATAGAAAACTGGCTGGAGCATCAGGCTCAGAGGTGATTAATCAATGACTCGATGTCTAGTTGGCAGCCAATATCAACTGGAGTGCCCCAGGGGTTGGTCCTGGAGCTGGTTTTGTTCAATGTATTCATCAACAACCTGGAAGGTGGCATAGAGTGCACCCTCAGTAAGTTTGCAAATGACACCAAACAGGGGGGAGTAGTAGATACTCTGGAGGGAAGGGCTAGGATTCAGAGTGACCTAGACAAATTGGCAACTGAGCCGAAAGAAATCTTGTGAGGTTCAACAAGGACAAGTGCAAAGTCCTGCACTTAGGATGGAAACACCCCATGCACCAGTACAGGTTTGAGGCTATCTGGCTGGGCAGCAGATCTGCAGAAAAGGAACTGCGGGTTACAGTGGACAATAAATGAATATGAGCCAACAATGTGTCCTTGTTCCAAAAAAGTCTAATGGCATAGTGCGCTGCATTGGTAGGTGTGTTGCCAACAGGTCAAAGGAAGTGATTATTCCCTCCTATTCAGCACTGGTGAGGCCACATCTGGAGTACTGTGTTCAGTTTTGGGCCCCACACTACAAAAAGGATGTGGATATATTAGAGTCCAGAGGAGAGCAATAAAAATGGGGGGCTGGGGCACATGACTTGCGAGGACAGGCTGAGGGAGCTCGGCTTATTTAATCCAGAGAAGAGAAGACTGAGAGGGGATTTAATAGCAGCCTTCAACTACCTGAAGGGGGGTTCAAAAGAGGTTGGAGCTAAACCATTTTCAGCAATGACAGATGACAGAACAAGGAACAACGGTCTCAAGTTGCAGCAAGGAAAGTTTAGGTTAGATATTAGGAAGAATTTTCTCCCTAGGAGGGTAGAAAAATCCTGGAACAGGTTACCCAGAGAGGTAGCGGAATCTCTATCCTTGGAAGTTTTTAAGACCTGGTTAGACAAAACTTTGGCTGGGACAATCTAGTTGAGGATGGTCCTGTTTGAGCAGGGGGTTGAACTAGATGACCTCCTGAGGTCCCTTCCAACCCTAATTTTCTATGATTCTCTAATTATACAGCTGCAGGCTATGACCAGCACAGAAGCCTAAACCTGCCTGCAGCTTTAGCATGCCCCCCACCCCTATTGTGGCTGGAGTCTATCTGCTCACAGGTTAGTGCACTCTGTTCCTCCCCCTGCCAAACCAGATCTGGCAGCTGTTGGCCATGTCCACAACAGCCGCCAAACACAGCCATCAGTTTGCAAGGCGGAGTTCCAGGTGCAAGGAAGGGGCAGGGCTTGCTACAGCTACAAGCTGCAACCAGCATGGAAGCATGAACAGCTGTGGAGGCAGCCAGCAGCTGCCAGGTCCAGACTTCAGGGGCAAAGAATGCTACAGCTGTGGGAGGGTTCATGCTTCTGCTTCCACACTGGTGGCAGCTCTGGTCCAGAGATAGAGTGCATGAGCACATGTGTGCAAGTGAGTGAGCACCTGGCATGTCAGGAGCAGCCCCAGCCACCCAGCATGACGTGACTGCCTGAGCTGCTGCCACCAGCCCATGGGCCAAATCCATTCACTTCACAAGTATGCACCTGCAGGCCAAATCCACTTAGTTGGTGGGCTGGATCCAGCCCATGGGCCATATTTTGCCCATCCCTGGTTTAAAGTAAGGCAGCTAAATCCATATTATGTATGGATTTTCCAACTCAGATGTATACACTTAGAGCTTCTAAAATGCAGACCATTTAGTCAGATGCCTGTATATGGTTATTGATACCTGACTTTAGGCATAAAAATTGAAAAACTTGATTCTATATATGCAATAATAATAGTGGAATTTGTATCATTGTTGGAATAAGTAGACTGGGCTATTTCATGGTTATACACTTACATAACAGAGTTTTAACTTGCAGTCATCTTCAATTTCATCAGCACTGTCCTCATCAGAGACTTCCCCTTCTTCAGCATCTGCTCCAAGATGATATGGTAGTTTCTTACCCTAAATAAATTGGCATACAAATAGTTGTAATAAATGTAAAAGTTTGTGGTTCTACTTCCTGGGACATTTGACTTGGTATAGACATTCAAAAAGTCTGAAGCAGAATCAATCTAAGTTATGCAGTTTTCTGTAAATGGCATAGTTTAGATTGGTAGCGAACAGAACAGACATTCACCCTTTGGTGGGTGGTGCAAATCTTAGATCAGGTTCCACCATTTTTAAAACAGTCTACATGTGCTGAACTTTTGTTCTGTTATGGGTAGAGACCAGCTTCCAGTCACTTATACCAGTAAAAGTGTAATGTCTGTCCCTGGCCAATCAGGCCAAATTCATGTTCATTTCTCATAGTCCCATGTAAAGCATAAAGAGGCAATATATGACGTTAAGCTGTGAATATTCCTCACGTAGAGTGGCTCATACAAACACTACTCAGGAGAACAGTTTATCCTGAAGATAGTAACTAGCACTAACCAATGGTAAATAGGAATAGTATTAGCAAAAATATCCATTTAATGGGGATATAATTTGGCAGTGCCAAGGAATTAACAGTATGCAATATTAAACCACAGTCTTTTTTTAAAGTTATTGCAAAATAAAGATGAAAAGAAGTTTTAAAAAGTATGAAAAGAGGTAACTGTAGCTGCTGTTCCTGTATTTTTATTCAGTATACTAGTTCAAGTCATTTTAGATTGCTTTTTTCTAAATTCTTCTTTAAGGTCTAATAGTATCACAAATGTTTTTAGAGAATGCTTGTGGCCTGCTGTATGACAAATATGGTCTTCAAACTTACAGCCACAGTTACAAATATTTCTTCCCTGACGCGCTTAAAGAATGAATCCATTTTACAGTGCTGGTAGAAGTTTTGCCCCGTCTCTGAACCCTGGCACAGACAGGAATTTAAAGAAGTAGTTATGGAGGTATCGACTCAAGTATGGTTAACAGTTTAAGCTACACATATTCTTCATTAAATTCTCTCACTATCACACCACCAGCAGGTGCTCTATTGCTGATGGCAATTTAAACACTGCATCAACCTGTGTTGCTAACAAAAACTGTGTCCAAACACAGCTGTAGGCTGTGTGAATCTAATTGGGACAGTCTCTTCATAATCATCATCTTTTGCAAGTCTTAAAGCCACTGAAGTCAATGGGACTTTTTCTATTGATTTCAATGAACTTGGATTAGGCTACTAGCCTAGATAATCTCTCTGTGCACTGGTAGCAGGTACCAAGAGGCAAGATTTCAAAAGTTCAGCTATAGGTATGAACAAATGTACACTTGAAGTAGGGTCAAACTTGGTCAGGGCTGTACAACAGCTGTACAACAGCTTTTACACTGTAACTGTTATATCTGCATGCATCTAGTCATATAAATCTTGCAAAACCAATCACACTTTAACTGCTTCATCCAGTTGACCATTTGGCTCACTTGTATCACTAGGAATCATGCACACAAAACAGTTACAGCACAACAGCTGCAGTGTGTTCCCCAGCAGCACATCCCTCTCCCTTTTTTTTTTATCTGTTCCACATGTCTGTTTTTCCATACCCTACTAGTGATTTTTGAAAAAGCCACCCATTACATTTAATGTTTCTGATGCCATCATCCAGTTACCAGTAGTAATTCTATCACTGGCAATGTGACTCCTAAACAATGCAAAGTGAAAGGCATGTGGGACAACATTTTACAGTAGTTATGTGCCCACTGTTCTGAATTACTGGGAAAGATTTCAGAGAGGCACTTTGCTTAACTACAGATTGTTTGTGACCACTAGCAGATTAGTAACCTCACCTCTTTTTCTTAAAGAGGTTTAAGAAACTAAAAAAACTAAATAAAATTATGTCATAATAATATAATAACAGGCTGCCTCTTTTCATATCAAGAAATAAAATGTATGGCCATATGGAATATGTAAAATTTCTGAATTCCTATGGAAGTCTGCTGAGCAGCACTATAAGCTAATCTACCTTTTGCCTGGTTTTGACAGATGTACACTAAACATTGCTGCCACTCTTTTAAATGAATAATGTAAATCATTTAGACAGCGATGGGTCATTACATTGCCTATAAGCATAAATATCATGAAATGAGAGCTAAAGATAGGCAGTACAGGCTCCATGCACATTTTTAGTTTCTGCTTCTTGTTCTGTTATCATGTAATAAAAAATATATGCCTAAGGGGATAACCTGAATTTCTTATCTATTCTCTCTAAATTCCACTGACCGGGGTGAAAATACTTGGCTTCATAGTTTAGATACTGAAATTTTAGAATGCTGTGTTTTTCCAGACTGGCAGCTATAAGAATATCCAGGATGCCATGATTGTATAAATATAGATAGATGTCTGAGGCATTCAAAGGGCACAGTTATAGAGAATCAAATCACTTGTGTTTTTAACCTCTAAAGCCCAGTGAGTTCTCTAGAACAGAACATCATAGCCACTTTCTGGCACTGAGGTTAACTACCTCAGTGACTAAGTTAAGAATGTCCCCAGGTAACTTAAGTTTTGACTAGCAAAATTCACTATCAACTGCAAGATTCAAAGAACTTCTTATACTAGAGTTTTTGAAACTTGTTGGACAAGCACAAGCCTCTAGGGCAGCCCTTTGGTCAAAATGTCATTGCACATGTAGTTCCCAGCTGCTTCATGCTCACCTCCAGCACAGCATTATTTATGATGCAATCAGAAATTGAGCTGAGACTCTGCTATAGCTCTGCAACAGAAGCAGTGGAAGTAAACACATAAGGCAACTGGACAACATGTGGCAGTCAGCACAAAGGAAGCAGGAAAGTCTACTGGAACTGTGCAGATACATATGAGTGCAGTCACCAATCTGAAATGGGGGTCACAAGCCCTGGATGCTGGCTAAGGAGGGATGCCAAATTGGAGGCAGGGGGGTGCATGAATGGTGACGGGGACCTGGAGTCTGTAGGTGCACCGAGCTGTGGCTGGAGTTCTATCAGTGGCCATGTGTAGACGAAATGAGAGGCATGTGTGCACAACACTTTAAAGCAGGCTACATGCTTTTGCTTTCGCTTTAATGGTGTTGGTGTTTGCATGCCTTGGTGGCATATTTCGCATTAATTCCAGCTGCTGTAGGAAATTTGGCAGCATAATGTGCCTTAAATGACTTGGGGCACAGCAAACTAAAACTCCTCCAAGGAGTTTTAGTTTGCTGCCCCTACAGCCGTAGAGCAAAGCACCGGGCTCCATGCAGCTCAGGGGCTCTGCAGGAAGCCCTGCAAGCAGCCTGGCAGCAGCCTGGGAAGGCAGGCTCTGCCCAAGAAAAGCGGTGAGCCTGATCTCCCCCACCCCTAGTCTGCCTGCCTGCCTGAGCTGTGTGGGGGCCCAGTGCTTCCCCCTGAGGCTGGGGTGCCTTCTAGGACCACCCAAGCTGGGTGCCTGCGTGCAGGTGCTGCCTGGGGGGGGCTGCTGCTGCTGCTGCCACGGAGTGAAGCACCAGCCCCCCCCTCCCCCCACAGCCCAGGGACTGTTCCACCTACCGGCAGCTCGCCCTCCCCTCCCTGCCAAAGAGGCAGGTAAATCAGCAGGGTGTGTGCATGACACAGAGGTTTAATCAGCTCTAAATTGAAGCAGTGTTTTTTAAAAACCCACTGCTTCAAGTTAAGGCCCCCGTTTTGTCTACACATGCCCAGTTGTTACTCCCCATCCCCCATAGGAGATGCTGCTACTGCTACTGCTACTGCTGCTGCTGCAGGGGGAGGATCCTGGAGAGCAGCTACTGGGTTAGCCTTGTCACAGCTGCCACGAAACTAAGGCTTCTACAGTCTCATTTAACATTCAATTCTGCAGCACTGTAAAGGGTTAGCTCTGTAGGTGTTGGGGTGTGAGGCTGACAGAGGAGTCTGAGTCTTGCCCCTGCTCCACATGACCAGCCCCCTGCTAGATATATGTCTGGGTGAGCCCAGGCTCTGCTTACACCACCCCTCTCCCTCCACCCATTCTCCTAGACTCACTCTCACACACACAAACACTCTTCCCAAGGTACCAAAACAGCTAGCTACACCTCTTTTACGTTTGAACAGTTAGCTGGTGGGGTAGGGATAGGTATTCTTCTAAAGTGGCATTTGTTGGCTATTTCTGATAGAAGGATACAGGGCTTGACAGACCATAAGTGTAATCCAAAATAGTAAGTGTTCTTGAATGTTCCTACATGATCACTCAAACCTTAACAATGCCTAGAGTGCATAAATAAAAGACCTAATGAGGAATAAAAATCAAGATGCTATTTACAGTCAAGAAATTAAATTTTAGTGATGTGATGATGTGTTCTTATCTTAACTACTGATTGCATTATCTTATCCAGGCTTACTCTATTTGTCAGTGCCACACAGAGACAAGCTATACAGTTCACTAAGAGATGTAGCCAGAGAGATCAATAGGGTGTTGAACTGAGGCGGCATAATGGATACTACTCTGCCAGTCAGTGGTCTGATTTGCCTCTCACATGCGCCTTTGTAGTGGTATAATTCAATTGATTTGAGTGGAATTACTCTTAAACTATACCGGTATAAGTGAGAGGAGAATCTGACTCAGCATTCAAATTCAAGGACAATAAGAAGTCCTTTTTCAGATATGTGGGGAGCCAGAGGAAAAGCAGGGGCAACATTGGACCCCTGCTGAACCAAAGTTAAGCAGCCAGCAGGTGCTTGATTAAGGCAGCCATTTTAATTCTCTGGCTGCCTATATAAAGAGCTCAGTTCCCTGCTGGCTGGGAAGGCAGCAACTTAGTCAGGCTGCAAGGCTCCATAACATCCTGGAGGTAAGGGAGGAGCTGTAGGGGATGGTCAGGAGGCTCCTGGTCCTGGGCATGACCTAAAACTGCACCCTGCCAGGAGTGGGTGGCCAGGTGGGGCTCTCAGTGGCAAGGGAGCCCCCAGGAAATATCAGGCCAGTTATTACCCCGGTGAAAGGCAGGTAGGAGCACCTTAACCCTAGCCCTCACCTTTGGGTGGGTTAAGTAACACCAGAGGCAGTT